AAGCGGTGCCCCGGGCACGAGGAAGGCCGGACTCTGAGTCCTGGCTCAGAGACTTTGTGACTGTTCTCTTGCCTCCATCTCCTCATCTGTAAAATGGGCACAACAGCGTGGACCTAATGAGGATACCACAGGGTAATGTAGGCAGGGCGCCCTGCAGACGCTTGGCACTCAGTGAGTGGAGACTGCAACCATCAGAGCCCCAAGCTGGCCTCCAGTTGGCCAGAGGCACCCTGATGGGCCCAGCATGTCCAGCCCCAGGCCTTGGACACCTCAGCTCATCTGCGGGTGATGCCTTTTTTTTTTTTTTTTTAAGATTTTATTTATTTATTTAATTGACAGAGACAGCGAGAGAGGGAACACAAGCAGGGGCAGAGGGAGAGGGAGAAGCAGGCTTCCCGCGGAGCAGGGAGCCCGATACGGGGCTCGATCCCAGGACCCTGGGACCATGACCTGAGCCGAAGGCAGTCGCTTAACCAGGCGTCCCTGCGGGTATTGCTTTATCGCTGCAGCCCGGGGCCTGTCCTGGCCCCCTTGGGCTGACTTGGCCAGTCAGGGCCCCTCAGCCTGCAGGAGCCAAAGTGGCCCAAACTGGTCCTGGGGAATCACGCGAACTACAGCTTCTTGTCCCCAGCCATAGCGGCTTAGAGCCTCCTGGGCGGCAGTCCAAATAATTAGGCCGTGCCATGTTGGCCTTTGCCAGACCTTCCTCCTTCGACTGCTTTGATATAAAGACAAGTGTAATCCAGGCTGAGTTGTGTCTTCTTCTGATTTTAAAAGAAATTAAAATATTTCCCTGGGTCCCTCCACATATTGTGGCCCCAGGCACTGGGCCTGCCCGTCTTGATGACATGGGTCTGGCCACACCTCCCAGCAAGCTGCCCGCCCTCACCTTCTTCCTGCAAGGAGATGCCTGTGGCTTGGCCAAGTGGCACACTCACTTCCCCTGGAAGACCCGTGGGGAGGAGACAAGGCAGCTTTCCTCCAGCCTCACCCCTACTACACATGGCGCTCAAGGAAATTTCCGCCCCCAAAAATCTGCTGCATGCCAGGGCCAAAGGGAGGGGCTAAGAACAAACACAGCCCCCCCCCCCCCCCCCCCGAGAATCACACAGAACCCTGCGGTGGAGAGGGGGTTCACGGGAGGTCTGCGTGCAGATGCAGACATGGCAGTGCTGTGCCTGCTGGGCCTGGAAGCCCCCCGTTACTTCTGCCTCCCTCCTGTCCAACCCCACGGACCCCTCCGGAGCCTGGGCAGCGGTCACGGTCCCTCCTCTGAGCAGCAGCTGCAGCCCCTAGTTGGCCCCCAGCTCCCCTCTTGTTCTTTCCATTCCACTCCTCTGGAGTGGGCTGGACATGCCAGGGACCCTCCAAGGCTCCCACTGCTTAGGATCCAGTCCAAACTTTTCCCTGGCACTGGAGGCCCTGCCAAACTGGGGTCAAGCTAACTACCCCACCCTTTCCCACCTCTGTGCCCCTGTCGAGGGCACCCCCCACCCCGCCCCCACCCTGGGCATCTCCACATGTCCAAGTCCGGCTGCTCTCCAGTGTCATGCCAGCAAGCTCTTCCAGAACCCCAAGTCTGTGCCACCCCCATTCTAAGTGGGCAGTGACTTCTGAACTCCACAGCACGGAGCACGGAGCTTCTCTTGGGCATTTGGCATGTATACTGAGCCCCTCAGGGTGGTCAGCTCTGGGCCGAACCCTAGAGGATTCAACACAAGCAAAGCCCATCTGTAGGCTCAGTTGATCCCGGAAGGAGGCATGGAAACACCCTCCCAAGCCCCAGAGGATTAACCCCACCTCACAGGCTCAGAGAGGTGAAGGAACATCCTGAGGTCACACAGCTGGTCAGCGATGGAGTCAGGATTCCCATCCAGGCGCCCCCAGGATCTGCACTCTTAACCGGTGTGTCATTCAGCTTCCCAATTCCAAGTGTGATACAGTACATCCTTGTATTTTATTTATGTGTTTACTTTATTACATGAGTAATCCACATGTATTGCAAAGGAATTGGAAAACAGAGGGAAAAAATAAAGCGACCTATTCTCCCATCGCCTAGAGCAAAGCACAGTCCACATTTCGGTGAGTGTTTGCATGACTTTTTCTAAGCATATCACACCTTCCTTTACAAGAATGCCTTCATGCTACAAGTGGTTTTATAATTTTCCTCCCCTTACAATAAATCAGACGCCTCTTTCTACAGTAACAAACATTTGTCTACCTTGGTTTTCTTAATTGTGAAATGTTCCATACAAACAGAAATGTATATAAAACACTGTGTACACTTTAAAATAATAATGAAAAAACACCTGGGTGTCCACCCCCAGGTTAAGAAACAGGAGATTGCCAATGGCCCGGGGGTCTCCTGTATTCTCTCCGAATCCTCCCTTCACCCCAAGGTCACCTCTAACTTGACTTATGAGTTAAACATGACCTTGCTCTCCTTTAGAATTTTTTTTAACGGGGCACCTGGGTGGCTCAGTCGTTAAGCGTCTGCCTTCGGCTCAGGTCATGGTCCCGGGGTCCTGGGATCGAGCCCCGCATCGGGCTCCCTGCTCAGCGGGAAGCCTGCTTCTTCCTCTCCCACTCCCCCTGCTTGTGTTCTCTCTCTTGCT